TGCTGAACCTGTAACGATGAGCAATTTGTTGCTAGGAAAAATATTGTCACTAGTAATGTATATGCTCCTTGTACCGTACCAGTACTGCTGACAGTCAGGAAGAAGCAGGTACAGTACTGCAGAATGTCTTGTATGGTCTCAGTTTCACTGGGTTTGGTTTTGTGTTTCCCTATCTCTAAGTCTTTGTGTCTTGCCCTCTTGAAGAGTGGGGGGAAGTGAATTTAGAGCATGACACCAGCTAGATTAACAGCTTTGCTTACCAAAATCCTTTGTTAATCCAAAGAACTAGCACTGCCTGATCAACAAAAATGTAATCTTCCTGGCCCTGCGTTCACTGTGTTTCAGGCTTCATCCAGGAGGGAGTATCTGTAGGGGCCAAAAGGTGAATCTGCTTGTCATGTAACCTCTTCTGCCTTTAGACTGGCCCATGTAGCAGCCAAAATGTGTGGGAAAACAGTAACACAGTGAAATATGTGTCTTGTATTGCAAATCATACCAGAATTTGAACATTAAAATGTGTTTTAGAAATTCCTTAAATAGCGGATTTTGCACTGGATGAGTTGAATAGCTATTTTTAAAAAAGTGTGTAGGACAAGCAGACTTTATCACATGCATGCATATAGTTTTATCCTGACAGTTGTCAGTTGCTAGTTTCAAACACTTAATTCATACCTTCAGGATAAGTCTTCACCACTCTGGAATTACAGAAGCATTTGCTGTCATTTTTGAAAAACGCTATCACTGAGCACTAAAAAGTTCAAGTGGAAGAACTAGGTCAGCTTAGTGCAAAGAGAGATCGCCTTCCCTGCCTGAAACATACATTCCAGCAAAATAGAGTAGACCCAATTGAAAGAAAACTTTCTTTGTAGTTCAATGTCAAATGCAAAACTTTGCTACTTCTAGGCTTTTCCTATTACCCATACTTAAGTAGCCTACTGGGGTAATGTTTCTTTCTTGAAGATGTGGGGTAGTAGAAAGAAACTCTTTGCCAGTACCAGAAGATTACATGAATTAGAAAATATGCATGGGTGAAATGTTTAGGTAAGCCTCTTGGTGTTTGTTTTTTCTTTTTTCCTGGGTGTTAGTAATCCCAGGTGTCAGATCCTTCAAGTTAAGACACAAGAAAAGAATGACTCGAGTTTCAACAATAATTTAGTCATGACTATTGTAAATATTGGATTTTCTTGATAGGCTCCTCTAAAATGCAGTAAAGCATTTTGACAGTCTGCAAAAAGTTGTCCTACAGCTCTACCTGTTCTTTGGAGGAAAAAAAATTCAGTGTTCTGTCTTTGTGTAGCCATCAGCGTAGCGTTTTCATAAGTACCAAGTCCACTGCAAGAAAGAGCGGGGGGCCCTGGCAACGCTCCAAGGCTGGTGGGTCCTGTGTGCTGGTATCTTGTGCTGCTTAAGCTGGTCGGCTGTGTTTCGTTTCTTCTCAGCGCTCTTCTGTAAATCAAAGCGGCTGCAGTGTCTCCCTCTACAGAAGGCTATAATTTAGTGGCTGAAGTGTTGTATATGTGCCAGTATATTAATAAATAACGTATGTTTTTGAGTTACAGTTACATCCTAGAATCGAATACAAATACAATTCCTCCTCTTAATTTTGTGTTTTTGACTGACTTCTGTCAGAGCCAGCTCAAGGGGGGGCTCCCTGAGACCTTCTATACCATACTTCTGAATACGGGCTTATTTAAAAACCCTCCCATATTCTCTGTAAGTAGAACCCTTGGGCTGTGATCCACTATTACTAGACGTGTTTCAAGGCTGGCTTAGCTTGTATGGTTTTGTGAATGCTGATTGGTTTAAGAAGATTTTACAAAATATTATATTGTCCTTTTCCTAATAGAGTGCCACACTTGCGTAACATGGGCTGCCAAATGTCTTATGAAAATGGACCATCAATTATAAATCAGCTGTGATGTTAGCAGTTAGCTACATAGTTTGTTATGAAAACCAGTTATTATTCAAAAATACAACCACAACTATTTTTTCTTTCAGGTTGCCCATCTAAAGAAATTGGGTTGAACAAGAGCAGTTCTTATAACAGGGTGCACTTTCATCTCTATAATGAAGAAAAGCAGAAGTGTCATGACAGTAACTGCAGATGAGGTAAGTTTTTAAAAAGGATTGTTTTGTTTTTTCCAGCACTTTATGAAAGTCAGATCAAAAGTTGATTAATTCTTAAAAGTGTCTGCTGGTTTTGTTTTAGTTACTCATTGATTTCCCTGGAGTTGCTTGCAGCTTATATAATAAGCAGAAACTAAGCCCCACACAATAAAAAACCAACCAACCAAACCCCCCGGAACTTCTCACGGTGCTTATGCAGAGTGTGTACTTTAATATTGTTTGTTGGTCGGCATAATAAAGGCAGGCACCAAGGACTAAACATTCCTATACCTTATGGGAATTCTGTTCTGGATCCGGTCTTTGTGAATGTGCTGTACTTTTTATATTTAGAAGCATTCAGCAGCTCTCATTACAGTAGTTGCCGAACACCTAATGTGATGATGCATGTGTTACTCCATTACTGCACTTGCTAATCATCATCATCATAATCCCCTATTCATTAAGCTCCAGCTCCAATTCTCTGGAGAAATGCATCAATCTGTAATGATGGCAGGATAACTGCAGCATTAATTGTCTTGTTTGTCACAGCTTGGTCTCTCTGAAAATGGAAAACCACCTGGAATGTATGTGAAAATACAGCAGAGAAGTTGAACCTAATAGCTTATGTATCCTATGGTAGTTCTCCAACAGAAAAGCGATTCCATATGTTGCACCGCTTCATAGTCAGTTTTCTTGCACATGCTACTGGGTTTGCTGGAATCCACTCTGTCCACGCTGATTATAACGAAGGCAGGCATTTGAAATCTAATGAGGAGTTAAAATACTGTGGTTCTGCTGTATATTTCTTTAAAAAATATTTTAAACGGTCTTCTAAAGATTATTAATAAAGGCAGGTCAAGTCAGATCTCCATACGGAAGACCAGCTTTCCTTTCTGGGGTTCCTAGGAATATTTTTGACATGAGGACAGTTTTGTCTTGTGAAAAAGGAGGGTTTAGATCGCTGCAGATGCCTTTTGGAAGCGCAGTATGCCAAATATTTAAGCTCCGATGTAAGTCATTATGATTTTGATGCCTTAATAACTTCATGAATGTGGACGAACATCCTGTATAGCACTTCAGGCTATAATCAAGCAGTAAAGCGTCTTTGGGCCGTGTTGTTTCCTGTGTGGATGCTTCACAGGGCTGTGGGAGGGGCAAGCAAACAGGGAAAGGTTGAGAAAACTGTTTAAGTGTGCCATTCTTCCCTCAGTCTTGTCTTTCATTCCCATGTTGAGAGTCCTTCATGCGATAAGAGGGAGGACAGTGCCATGGAGTTGTTTACTTTAATAGTCCCATGTCCTTTACACTAGAAACTGCGAGGAAATGGAGGACACATGCTACTTTGCAGTTGTCTTCATGATGGACCTAATAACTGGTTACAGAAAATTAGACCGCTCATTTATTTTTCGAAGTTAGCAGGTCACCAGTTGTCGCTCATAATGTGTTTTCTCAGAGCTCAGCTAGATCCTTCTACAGTCAGGACTGTGCTGGCTGGAGAGGTGAGGGGGAGGACCTGACGGCTGCAGTTGGTAGGGACGCGAGCGCAGGGGCTGGGAGGCTGCGAGGTGGGTGCAGAGAGCAGGACAGGGATCGAAACTCGGGAGCAGGTAGAAGAAGAGGAAAAATGCGAGGGATTGCAATAGATATACGCATCTATACCTTCCAGCTGCTAGTGCTAGCTGCTGGTGCCAGCATGTCATGCACAGTACAGAAATATTCTCATTTGTATCGAACAATTATATTTGAAGGACTAGCTAAATTCTCAAAGTAAGACAAAACCAGCAACCCTCTTGCAGTGATATTTCACTTGGCTTGGCTTTGAGAGGACTGACAGGCAGCTTTGTGATTATTGTGATACTTTGAAATAAAAATCGGTGGAAGCTCTTAGAGGAAATACTGCTTTAAAGGGATGAACAACTTTTTTTCTGAGGCTATTTCTGTTAGGAATACCAGACTTAGTGTAGCTAAGCGGGGAATTCTTCATAATGAAGAGCTCTTTGATGATTCAGGATGTCCAAGTCAGTATTCCTGGCACCTTTCTCTGCCTGAAGATTCATCAGAAAAAAGTGGCAAACCAATATGTTTGTGGTGTGCAGAGGAATGATTCTTTGGATGAACAGTGAATGGAATATATTTTTTAAAAGTTTAAAATATTGGAAGTTTAACATAGCACCCAAGTGACTTGGATTGTCGAAGTGTTCAGAATTAGATGTTGATTTTAGCTTAGAAAAGTTATGAATGAATTTGAGAATTAAAAGCTTTGTAAAATAACAATGCGATACAGGCAGAACTGTGCTAGGATTTCACAATACAGTTATCTTTTGTGAGTAGCTATGACTGCAGAACAACATCACTGAATGTTTTATATTTTTTAAAAAATCTGTAAAACATTTGAAATTTGTAAAAATTTTGAAAATATTTGTATGTGCAACTTCAGTGGCTTTTTTTTTGTCTTTTCAGCATGCACTGGATTACCTGGAGTGTGGCCTGAGCAAGTCCTACAGTACTTCTAGCCATGCTCTGGGCATAGACCTCTGGAGAGGAAGAAGGTGTTGCTCTGGTAATTTGCAGTTACCACCACTATCCCAAAGACAAACAGAAAAAGCAAGGACGCCGGACAGAGACATCATCTCTAGACCAACGACTCTGCCTTTGTTGACACCTCCAAGTATTGCAATCACTGCTTACCAAGACTGGTAGGTTGTTTCCATTTGTTACGAACCTCATGTTGTTTCTTTAGAGCGTTTTTTGTTTGTTTTTACAAAGTCCCTAGACATTAATCTTGTATGTATTAATCAATATTGTTCATGTCTGCTGGTTGGTGGATCATGGACTTACGTTTGGAAAGTAATTGCCTGCCTTTTTTGAAACCCCACTTCTATTACAAAGCTCTTCCGTTCGCTTTTTGTGCATCTTCATGCAAATTTTGTCGTGTAAATTCTGATCTCAGCCAAAGGAACTCTGCTATTAGCTCTCCACCTACAGAAGATTTCAGGAATGGCCGTACATGCTTATAGAACAGGTTGAAGAAAAGGGCTTTAGGTCTTGGGCCGTTTCTTGTCCAAGTGCTAGGAGAGAGGCTTGGGAAGAGCATTTGAATCTGATATTAAGCTAAAGAAAAGGCCTGAAGAAACTGTCAGAGAGATGATTAAGAGGGAGTGGCAAAGAGATGAGTTCCAAAACAGAAACTGAATATTAAATGCCAAAACAAGGAAGCTCATCTGGAGGAGGAGAGGAAGACAAGCCCCGAGTGTTCATGTATTAGAATCACGATGGTGGAAGTTACCGGGAAATGAATTTTAGCCTTTTCCATTTGACTTCTGGGAGCTCCAAAACCTGTAGTAGTAAGCTATTATGCAACCTTTGAAATTAGATGTCTGGCTTGCCATATAAATTCTGAAATGACATTGCTGTGCAACTTTAAACTCTGTATCTCAGCTTCACATTTCAAATGTACTTTGGATTCTAGGTTTTTAGATGCTCCATTCTCAGTTTTGCTTCCTAGCTGCAAGGCATGTTCACTTCACTGTTTCCAAGTATGAGTCTGGTTTTAGCATCTGTTAAGTTCAGCACTGTTCAAGGCTGGCATTTCAGTTTGTATTTATATTGAACAATGATCTTTGGAGGACTACCGAAGTTCATTTGTTACGGGCTTTTAATAACAGTTTTCCTATTGAAAATAGGAGTTTAGACTATACGCTTGAGACAGATGAGATAAAGAAATCAAAGGGGAATTTGCAGGGACTTTTGTTTAATGTTTTCCTTTAATCGCTGTGGATAAAGTTAATGAGTTGTCTAGTTTTAGATGGAAAGAGCACTTTGACAATGAAAGGGTTAATTTACCATTTATAAGCCTTTTGAAAATATCCCTTGCGGTATATTTGCAGTAATTCATAATCTCATCTGCCAGACAGTGGAGAGTCTATTCATGTGTGTGGTTTTAAACAATGAATTAATTTTGCTCTTTGGAACACCTTAATATGTGATGTAGGCGAACACAAGGAATTGCAATGGATTTGTGATTGGTTTCCCTTGTAACACAAGGGGGCATTGCTGCTCCTCTCTCCCAGTGCAGCAGGATGAGTGTATGTGTATCATAGGCAGTAGTACAACATGTATTATTCTAGAATGTTATGTTAGTGAAAGAAAAGATTTATAACTGACACTTAAGTTACTGGTCTTTCTGTATCGTTATTGATCTCTTCTAATAAGTAAGCAATGAGTTCATGACCTCAGTTTCAGCTTGAATCTTACGTATCTGTTCATAACCACACAGACAGTTTGGTGTTGCTGGTTATTGTGACTGTGTAATTCAGAATGCTATTCCAACACACATTGTTATGGTGCACAGGCATCACCTTTCTGACGTGAGCACCAGCTAGGCTGACTGCTCTTAGGGCTGGGCAGAAAGCCGTTCTCATCTCTCCCATTTGCTGTTCAAGTTCTAATCATTAAGGGCTTTTGAACAGGTGAGCAATGTTCTGTACCCCATGCTAGGCATTTACTAACCTACACAATTCCCACTTACTCAGGGCCGGACCACACAGAAGGAAGGTACAGTCATGCTTGAGATTTGTCTGTGTAGGAGAGGTGCAAGCCACTTCTGGTCCCAAAGCTGTTTAGGCATATTATACTGTGGTACGGTCCTGCACAAAATATACCTGAGAGTCAGATTATATTTATGTAAGCATGGTACGTGCCAGTGTGTCGAAACAGCTTTGGAACGATAGGAGCATTAAGAGACTCGGTGAGTGGGCAGTAAGAGGATAGGAAAAATTCAGCATAGATAAACATGAAGAGATGCATCTGAGCATGAAAGAATCATAGCTGCAAAACAATATTGCTCAGGAGCAAGATCCTGGATGTAGGATGGATAGTCAGTAATGGTCAAAAAAGCAAATCAGATGTTAAAGATTTCAAGAAAAAGAATAGAGAATAAAATAGAGAACATCAGTACACCATGGTGAAAACAAGTCTGGTCAAATCTTGCAATTCTGGTTTCTTCTCTCAAAAAGGATGTGGCAGAACTAGAAAGCATTCAAAGCCCAGCTAAGATGATCCAACATACGGAACAGCTTCTGTGCTAGGAGTGATTAAGTAGGCTGGAAATTTTCGGTGTCAAAAAGACACAGTTGAGGGGAAAGGGATAGGATAGAGATCTTACGAATGGTGTGACGAGAGTAGGCAGGTAATCTGTGGTTATGGTCCCTTCCAATGTAAGAACAAGGGGCCATCAAATAAAGTGATAGGGCAGGTGTGAAGCAAGTGCAAGGAGCTGGTTCCTTACACAGCGTGCAGTGACTCTGTGGAGCTTTGTGCTGTGGGATCCTGTGAATGCTGAGAGTTCAAGTGGGCTCAAGGGGAAAGCTTAACAGATCCTGGAAGAGAAATCTCTTCTGCATTTCTTCTGAATGCATAAAACCTATCTCTTGTTCAGTTTCTAAGCTGCAAATTGTCTGGGACTGGGAGAATTTTTGAGGGAAAGTACCATATATGTTTGCTTTCTGTTCCTTAGATGTCTGCTTTTAATCCCTTGAAGAGGCAGGGTGATGGGCTAAATATACCCTTGGCCTGACCAGTAAGACCATTCTTACATTGCTAGTCTAACTTTCACCTCACTTGAAAGGTATCTTTCCTCAGAGTTTTAATGAAAATGCTGAAACCACAGGCAGAAATTTAACATTGTAAAGCAATTGGCAGAAAGACTTGGCTTCAAATGTAGGCAGCCTAATGCCGCTAAACGATATAAATCTCAGACTGAGACAGGAAAGAACTAATTTTCCTCTTGAAAAGCCTGTCCAGCTTTTAGTTTCTTAGGATCGTAGGATAATTCAGGTTGGAAGGGACCTCGGGAGGTTTCCAGCCCAACCTCCTGCTCAAAGTGGGGTCGGCTCTGAGGTCAGATCGGGCTGCTCAGGGGGCTTTATAGAGTCTGGCCTTGAAAACCTCTACAGATGGAGACTTCACGTTTTATTTGGGCAACCTGTTCCACTGCCTGAACGTCCTCAACTTGAAAAAAAAACCAAAACACCCAAACCCTCCTTATATCCAGTTGGAATCTCTCTTGTTTCAACTTATGCCAGTTGTGTCTGGTGTTTCCTGGTGTTTAAGTGAAAGGTAACGGCAGTGTGCTGTTCTTTGCAGGTGTGGTGTGTATCTAGTCCACAAATCTATTCCATTGATCCAGCGTTGTGTATTCAGATTGCACGGCTTTAGGCCTTTAACATGTCTCTGGGCTGCAGAAACATTTCACTAAATTTATTCCCTGAACGTTGCTTGAGGTCACAGATGTTTTCCTGACCTCTCTTTGTCCATGTTGCATAAGGTAGACAGTCTTGCTATCGCTTGTACAAGAAGTTGTACAGATCAGGTGGGTTGATACTGTTAAGGCAGTGGTGTTAGCAGAGCATGCAAAATGAAACTCTGCACAGAAATTTAAATGCGAGTGGCCTTGGTCAAGGGACATTTGGGGTCCACACAGCTGAAGTGCATAAATAAAGTAAGGCTCAGGCATAGACCTTCTGTAAGATAAATCATGATCTCTCTTATGCATCTAGTAGAAATCTTTTAACCTTCCCTTAGTGCGATTTTTTTCTGAGGGTTCCTAGAGTTGTAGCTTAGAGATGCTTCCTAGAAGAGATCAATAGGACTCATTTAGAAATGTGTAGGTTTACTTGAGCTTTCTGTAATCTATTTCTGTACTTATAAAAACACAGTTGTGGAGCACCTCATTATTATGATATGGAAGGTGATTCTGAGAAATAGTGTCATTTCATTCTCTACCATTCATAGTAACCATCGTCTTTTTTTTGCAGTGACTGTAAGATTATGAAAGAACTTCCTAGTAACGGTGTTGTGACAGTTAACTTTTGCTGCTGATGTGGTAATTCCTCATTACATTGGTGTACCCTCAAAAACACGTACCAAACTTTTGGAATGGATGTTTTTTCCTATTACCTAGGTCAAGTATGATGGCAATGAGGCATTCCAGAGTTCATACTGAACAAAGAAATCATTTCCGTTTGGGAATTTTGTTTCCTATTTGTGCACAGTATTATAGTCTTTGTAGAAATTTATAATCTTAAACAGAAAAACAGTAAGTAAATTTCCCGAAGGGACAGGGATCAATCAAACTCTGTAAGCAAAGGAGCGCTCTGAACCAGTGTGAAAGCTCTGCCTTTGTAGTTACTTCTTTTTTTTTTTTTGTTAACTAGATTAAATCCCTGGGAAGACTCCTACTGTGTGCATTTGGGTCTGTGTTCTGCTGAATCATTCTACCAGTTCTTCCATTTCTTGTTCCTACAAAAGCTCTAGTACACACTCGTTATTTAACTTTTGTTGCTCTTGTGGTTGAATGCCGTTAAACTTCTGGGTAGTCTTGATTTCTGCTGCCCCAAAGCATTTCTCTGTTTGGGGTTCTGCCTTGAGTTTATCCTGGTCATCAGAACAGCCAAATAGTAACTCTCTCTGTCGTGAAATGAGATTTCTAAGTTGAAATCCTGGAAGGGAATTTATATATAAAGTTGTATCTTCCCAGAGTGTTTTGGGGATGCCACACCTCTTAAACGCAATGTTTTCCACTAACCGGTGGAGGATACTTATCTGTGTATGTTAACTTTGGGAGGTTAATGAATGGACTCAGATGGCTCGGAAGTAATTTCGTCGAGGAGTTCTGTTGACATCCAAAGCTGTGAAAATAAGTCTGTGGCTAAGAAGAAAAAAAAAAATTACCTCTGTATTCCTAAAAAAAAATCTCATCTGATTTCCAGGAGTACTTTTTTTTTGCCGGAGTAAGGTCAAAAATCTAAACAACTGTGATACCTGATGACCACTGTAAGAGGCCAACAAGTCAACTAGAATTAATTCTGATATAGGTAGTAAAACTCCAGCAGGGATTTAAAGTAACCATGCATCTTACACAGCTCTACGTGCTACCACACTCCTAGCAAAACCTTACATACCAAAGGAGAACATAACCAGCTACATTACAGCAGCTTCAAAACTGTGTTTCCTTTTAAAGATAATTGTTATTATCAGTTAGGTGAAATTTAGTTCTGTCATCACAGAAATAGTACAAAATTCAGTCTGCAAAGTAGCACTGAGCTACAGAATACCTTATAAGAATAAACTGATTATGGAAGTTTGGCTGTTCCTGGGATGCCAGTAACTGTAGTTTAAAGAAAAGAATAGTAGAGATCAAATATAGAACATATTATTTGGGAGACATCGAAGAAAATAAGGTATAGTTGACTCCTTTTGTAAGTGCTTTTCTGGCACATTTTTTCAGAAATCGTCACTTCCAGTGCTAATACAAAGATGAGAACTGTGGGAGGTTAAGCCATCAGTTATATATTATTTTTATTTAAATTATATGGTAACCTAAGAAATAAAGCTACTTCTGAGATTAAGGATTTCTTTTGTGTTTGCCAGAACTTTGTTTTCTTAACACTAGTGCTATTGTGACAAGATCTCTAACCAGCAAACAAAAAATGGGTGGGCTGACTACGAAGCAATAATAATGTCGTGTGATAATATCGTGTGTGAAAATAGCGAGGCAGTATGCATATAAAGTAGTTTTCATAAATTATGCAAGGGAAGAGTATGCAAAATATGCATCTTCAAGTGGTATTCTAAATATAGAAGTCTTATAAGCAACTTCCACATTAATTTTGTCCATAAAAGTTGTTAAATTGTCTTCAGCAATCCTGCTCCATATTTCATAACTAAAGCTTTGTGATAATAAACCTAGGGGAGATGGAAAAGCTACAGTAGGAAGAATTTATTTGTAGCCACCCTTAGGACATCCAAAATAGTTCTCTTATCCTGTTTTTGAGACTTAAAAGCTACTAGATTAGGTTTGACGGAAAGGTAGATTTTGGTTTTAACTGATTTTACACATTTGACTTGTGTGTGTGGAGACATTTTAACTGTTTTGCATAAAGTTCCTGTGTTGAAACAAAAGTATTTTATATGATCAATCCTAAACCATAAGGGAATAAGGAGGTTTTAGGAATTATCTTAAGAGTTCATATGACTAACATTAAATCTAACAAGGACAGCACTTTTTTAGGGCACAGAGATTCTGTGAAATATTTAGACTACTATATGAAATGCTGTGTTGAAATATATATATATTGTTAATGCTCCACTGCAAAAGATGCTCTGTGGGATTGATCCTATTTTCCTTGTCCACCTCAAACCCTTACTGAACTTGGTAGGGATTTGCGGTATGAACGCAGTGTCAGTGTATTAATGCATTCGAAAGCGTGAGCGCGTCGCTGGATCTGAAACGTGTATGTAGTGTCTAATCTAGTGCTTGTAGTACTTCAGATTGTTCTCCAGATGGTGATAGTGGACAACAAATTAGATTTAAAAAATAAAACAAAAACCAAATTCAGTATGATATTGCAAACATTCAGCAATTTCAGCTAGGGCTGGCTGTTAGCACTGTGAAGCTGTTACACTGGTGGTAGTTAACTGAGGGACTGATGTAGAAACTTAGAATGATAAAGGGGGTGGAGATTTGAATGAAGGATTAAAAAGGCTAATAAAAATGTAGCCAGGCTAGAAAACTACGCAGAAGGGAACGTGCCCAGTCGTTCCTTTGGGTGTCCGAGGTCTGTATATCCCAGGGAATGAAAGGAAGTGTTTCGGTTAATAGGAAGTTTGAAGTAGGAACAGTGGGATGAAAACCAGAAGTTCAGGAAAATTAAAGCTGTTTTGGAGAAGTGGTTTTTTTTTGTTGTTCTGGTTGGTTGGTTGGTTGGTTGGTTTGCTTTTAAGACTGTCTCTGACTATAGTGTAATACCCTGTGAAATAGGTGGAAGTCTTGTTTCTTAGATCATTTCAAATTCAGCTGGATAAGAACTGAACAAATATGCTACAACCCTGCAATGGAGGAAAAATAGATTAGCTGGCTTCCCATATGATGGGAAAAATAAAAGTGTAGGAAGCCCCCTTCCCCTGCCTGAACCATGTTTTTGATCATCTTTTACACCTATGATTTTAAAAGGTTTAAATCTTTATATCAGTCACATTGATGTTTCTTGTAATAAAACAGGATCAATTATTCTGATTGAACGCAATTCCTGTGTTTCAAAAGCCTGTGCTACATTTCCGTGGGGCATGCACTCATCTTTAAAAAGCAGGTCAGCTGTATTCCTTATAACATATCATGTATTCTATGAGGAAAATGTATTTTAATTATGCTTTGCTGTTGCTGGAAAACAAAAATGGTAGCTTAGTTTTAAAAAACACAATTACTGTAATTATTCTAACAAGAAAGAAATAGAGATATTGAACGATGTTAGATCTGGGAGCAGTCTTAAAAGATTTCATTTGTTCAGTGATTTTTTTGTTGCTTATCCTTTGATGGAACTTGCTTTGTAGTATCATCTAGTACGTGTAAGCATTGCACACGTATGGTGCTGAACGCCAGAAGCGATAGGAGCCTGGAGCGCTGGGCACTCCTCGAGACAGTCTCTTGTGATTTTGTCTTTTTTCAGGCCCTCTTGCAAAAGATCATCAGATATTTTTGTTTCTGCTTGATAAAGCTAGTAGCTATGTCCAAAACCCTGTGAAGATACAACGGTAACTTTTAAGAGGACCTTTCAGTTCTATTTATTAAAAAAGAGGGTTTGTGTGTTCCCAATTATTTTCCATTTCTGCCTAGCTTACCACAGTGAAATGTAAAAACAAACAGTCTCTCTGAAAAGCTGCAAAGGTTCTGTTGAGATACCGCTCCTACGTTGTTTCCTGTTCTACAGGTAGTTTATAAAAATCATGTAAAGAAATTCACTAAGGTTTAAAACTGTTTGGACTGACCAGTGTGGGAGGCAGAGGCTATCTTGTCTGAGGAAGAGGAAAAATCCTTGATTATTTTTCTTGTTTGTTTTTTGTGGTTTGTTTGTTTTCCCCATACCTTCATTTTAACACTTTGCAAAGATGTGGAGAAAGAGGAGGAGGAAACGTAGATAGTGAGATTATTTAGAGAAATGTCTTCTCTAAAATTCTGCCACTTCTCCTTTAGTGAAATGCTTCCATCAGAGTCTGTCCCATCCTCATTGATTTGCGGAGGGGTTCTTCCTGACCCGGAGCTTTGTTAGAGGATCAGTTGAAGAAACAAAACCAAACCATGGTGTCTCCTAACTGTTGACTCCATTCTTATTTTTTCAAATTATGGTGCCTTGCTCCCTTGATCGCTGAGCGTTCCTGGCTCCTATTGACTTGGCAATTGTGAGTGCCTGATGCTTTTAAGACTAGATTTCAAATGTCTTCTGCTGGATAGGATGCAAATGAGCCAGTATTTATTATGTCCTATCTCTCAAGCATTAGGTTAAAGATCTTTACTGACCACATAAAGAGCATGTCTGGTAGGCAGCGGGGTACAGAGTGGGGTTCCTCTATGTAGCATCTTTCTGTCGTAGCTGTGAAGCCGTCTGTCTCGTTCTCTGCCTGTCTTCCAGCTCTAGAGCCTTTTCGGTGGCCACACAATGAATAGCGTACAAGGGAAGATGTTAAACCAAGAACTCCATATTGTGTTTCTTCTTAGTCTTGCATACTTCTCTCTTTTTTGAACAGGGTGAAACAGATTGCCCTGTTGGCTGTTCAGCATGCGAGCAATTCAGTCATCTCTCTTTCTGCCTGGAGTAACATCTTTAAGGTTTTAGTACGCCCTTGCTCCTAGATGCTGGTCTGGGAAAAGTGCAGTTCTCCAGCTGGCGAGAGCAAGGCAAGGAGTCTCATGTTCTGCATTCATTTCAGATTTCCACTGTGGCCTGAGCTGTGTAGAGCACGCCAGGGTGCAAGCAAAGCACCTGCGTGAAGGGCTGAGAGGAAAGTTGAGTCATTGAACATGCTACTCACCTTCAGTGTCTGCGCTCGGAGTTAGCCTACCCACCTGACTGCGCTAGTGGCAAGTTAATTGGTGGGGGTACATTGGTAGTCCTGTCCCTGTCTGATACTGCACGACAAATCCCAGAGATCTTTTTATGAAAATAAACCGCAAGAGTCCTTCATAATGGAACAAAGTGGTAGGCAACCCAAGTATATAGGGACACTGCTAGCTCATTTTGTAAACAGTAGTTCAGTACAAGTGCAAACCTGTCTAAAAAGAAACTGCTGCAGAGATAATTTGTGCTATCTCCGAGTTATCACTGAAGTTATTTTCTCAACTAAAAATACACAGATAAGTGTTTTGACTGCCTATTTTTAGATATCGTCTGTTGCTGTCAGATTTTGAAGCTCTTGGATCTTTGGCACATCAGTAATATTTTTCGATTTTTATGTTTTCTAGAAAGCCTAGACAGAATAATTAGGATTTCTGTGGTGTTAGAGTTGGTATAGAGTAATTTTAAGAAGAAACATAATATTGGGTTAATCCTAGATCATGAATTAAAAATTGTGATTTATTAAATGTCTGTCTTTTTGTACACACAATTTATATTCTGTTATTGCAATATAATCTTTTTCTTAGTTTGCATTTGTTTGATTCCTTGGATTTAGGTCCACTTATGTGCTCAAAATGATGGCATCCCCTTTTTGTGTGTGTTACAAGGTGAGCCCATTAATTTTATTGAAAACGATTCTGAAGTTTGGTGCTGGAAGATTTGCCTAGAGATGCTAGTAGTTCAAAACAGAGGTGGCTCTAGGCACACAAAAAGGGTTTTAATGATTCAATTATAGCTGTATACTTCTAGCTAAAATGAAAAGAGACAGCTTGAATGTATCTAGAATGGAAAGAAATGAGTCACCGTTAATTAGCAGAAGACAGTGAAGCTTCTGAAATATTATGTTCAAACCTCATCTTCCTAAGAATATAAAATAAATGGAGATTATGGAAATACAGTTGATATAAAAGCTGAATCAGACAAGAATTTGACACAACTTTCTTTTATCTTTAAACTTCTGACTAGTGATAACTTCACCTGAAAGCAAAGATCAAAACCAGTTTGTTTTGAAACCTGGAGAGCTAGCTTCTGGTTCTCAGCTGATCCATGGCATGAAATACGTTTCTGTATTCAGTATTATACATGTGGTTCAGGTGCCGGTCTGTTTTGTGCTGCCGTGCAAGCAGACAGATTGTTTAAAGTTCTGTGTAAAGGTATGTTTACCCCTACCACCTGTAGGGGTAACCACCTGTACTGTAACAGGGCAGAGGGTAATGTCAGGTGCATCAGGATGGTCTGTTTTTCCCAGTGGCTCTCAGTTTTCTCCCATCCTTCCATCTGCGGGTGTTTGCTGGCGACTGGCAGAGTGAGGTCCCTCCAGCAGGCTGGCCAGCACTGTATGGCACGCATCTAGATGCTATTTTAGGTGTGGTTCTGACCTGTCACTGAAGCCCAAGCTGATTGGATTTAGGCACAGGCTGTGGGTGACCTCTGGAGTACAGTGAGAGAGAGAGCTTCAACCCTGGTGCCAGATGCCTGACAAATTTGGCCATGCCACCAGGGCTGGCATGCCACTATATGTGATCCCTCATGTCTTTACACCAATGAATATACACCAAGTGGGTGTACAGCAGAGAAGCAAGCCGTGGGCTCCTTTCAGAAAAAGGATCCTGGCATTATATTTGACAATGAATTAGGGAATAGATGGGATGAATGTATCTGGGTTGCTCGAGGAGCAAAGCAGATATGCTAAACATGGGTCTGCAGCTGATGACCTGGACTCATGCAGCATGTCCTGTGCAGTTTGCTCTCCAGCTTGTGCTCTGCAAGGCGGTATAGCCAGGGTCTCCAGGGTCGGGATGCTGACAGGACCCTCTGCTTTCTAGCATCATGCAGCGTCTGCTTGACAGATCACCACTTCAGTAGCTCCCCTCCTGGATGTCGTGTATCTGGGAAGCTAAATTGCTTAAAGTGTAGTTCCACATACCATGCACTCCTTTCCCAGCCAAAACTCAACAAAGTCCATTTATAACTTGTGTTTCTAAATGCTTGTAACCAAGCTACTAAATCAGTTTACTAACAACACTCAATTATCTCTGATCTGCTCTGAACTGTTCCTTTGATTGGCAAGTGTCCCTTGAGATATGAGTGCTTCTGTTGTCAGGACATAATAAAACTATTCATTCTGTCAGTGTTAAACCCTTCGTCCTTGGATGCAGTTGTCTTAAGTGGTTGTGGTTATTGCCAGACTTAGATGCTGGGCAAACCAGTAGACTCTGCCCTTCACTGCTGGAAGTCGGAGCTGTGCTGCATGCTGTCTAGTCTGCATCTGTCTGAGGAGCCAGCTGCTGCTGGGCATCCTTGTATGATAGCATTTCTGTTTATGACCAGTGTTTTTTAGCATCTCCCTAATTGTGGAAGTTTGCTGTATCATTTTGGGAAGTACTGGGAGCACTGAGCCTCTATCCAATTTCCCAGTTCCGTGATCTCAGCGTCTGTTATCAGGGATGTGTGTTTCTTGATTTTCTGTGGCACAAAATATTTCCCTGTCATGTTGGTACCACCCTGTAATTTAACAGTGGCAGCTGTAGAACGATTATTTGATCTTCCTTTTAGGCACTTTCCTTTTTCAACGTACTTTTTCATTAAGCTATGTGCGGATAACGGATGCCAGTTGCTGCATACTGAACACACGAACTGCTTATATTGCGTCCTTTACTCCCCCTTATCTGAAATAACTGTGTGTGGTATATCATGTCTAACAAAAGTAAATTTGATACCTATAATACTCTGTATATTTGGTATGTTGGCAAGTAAAGTTTTCTCAGGGAAGTGAAAATGACTCTAGAATAGACAAACGTCAAATGCACGTATATGTTTTTTTTTCTGGCAGCATCCACTGATTTATACCTATTTTGTTCCAGGCTTTGTGCTGTCAACATAGATTCTCTTGCCTGATTTGTTCTATATGTGGACATTGGAAACGTGTCCCTGGATGGTTCCTTTTGGTAGTTTTGTGTTTGTCATAATAGTTAACTCCCTCAACTACTGCTTAGTCTTGATAAATTACTTGTTGTTGGCATCCACCTGCCTTTAGACCTTTTCGTACATGTTTTCAGTAACTAAGTGGTGACCTTCCGGATTCTTTTCAAACTTACAGTTCTGCATCAATTTCCTCATGGGTTCTTTGAACAGAATCCCATGCGATACTGAGAGCTTCATCTGAATGAGTTAGAGGGCCTAGAGCACCCTGTTAGCCTCTGCTAGTAGCCTTAACCACTTCCTGCAGATTCTCACTCTCACTCTCCATCTTTGCTCTGAGAGATACGTTACCTGTTTGCCTGCAACTGGACACTGTACACTTGCAGCTTAAGAAAAAACACCTATGTGCTCTGAGAGAAGGGTGTTGCCTATTCTCTTTAACAGTGGGAAATGCTTTATGTTTGATTTTGTTAACACTGTCTCTCCATTTAAGAAAAGTGTGCGACTTTTTCTGTACTTGGACAGGCCTATCTTTTACACTTCTCCTCCTCTCTTTCACACTGTTCTTATTAGCACTGGTAACATACTGGCCTATAGGTTTTGGCCGTGAGTTTATTACCATATTATCAGCATATTTATATACACATTGTGAACTTTACCTTTTTTACATTTTTAAGTGAAAAATATTTACAAATAAACGAACACTGTATGAAGCTGATAATACTTAATTTGAGAGAGCTAGTAAGATGCAGATGATCTGAAACACAAAGCAAATAAAATTACCTGCATGGAAATTAGAATGATATTTTGTCAATCAGTTCCTGCAGAACTAAGGCTGTGAAAGAGTAAGGTGCAAACTGTAAGCGGATTCGGATTAGTGGTGAAGTTCTCGGCTCATGCTCAGTTATCACAGGCGAGACCAAAAACAGAGAAATATGTTTGCTCATGGAAATGATTTAAATCCTTTCTTTGAAAGGAGAAGGAGGAGTTGTTCAAGGCCATAGCCTTGATTTATTTTTGTACTTGATGCGCTGCCTGTGTGAGTGGAGATGTAGTGCAGGTGCTGGCACCTGCCATGCATTCATTCATACATTGCAATAGCTTGGGATTCTTCATTTAGTTCTTTCTGTCCTGCAGAATTCCAAGCAAAATTCTAGGTAAAAGGGTCACGCTTGAATTCTCCAAACTTACTTGTTAGTACTTGCTGGAGATTCTCCTTTTTTAAGTCAGATCTTATGGACCGGCCTCTATTTAATTTGCAATTCACAGTTGCTAGGTAAAACCAAACTAATTTTTCAGTGGAATGTATGGCTGAATGCACAAATGACCTGATGAAGGGGATGCTTTAATTGGTTGCATATGATTATCTTTCATCAGTGAGAACCTTGCTATGTCAGTGAGAATATTGGTTTTTTCATGCTTATATCATTTTCATTCTATTCACATGAAAATTACAGATACTAACATTTGTTTTCATTTCATATTTAAGCACTGATAAGGTTATCTGTGACTGAATTCGAGCGAGTGACAGGGGCCAGCAGTAATGGTGCCAGTAGTTGCCTCTGGACACTGGTGCAGAAGCAGCTCTGGACAGCAGCGACTAAAAGCCTGGTATTGGCTGTTGAACGTTAGTGACTCACGCAAGATGAGGTGCTTAGTCACAGGCAAGTGCATGGAAGAGACAGGTGCAGCTAATGCTAATCGCAATTAGATGACACACCACCGAATGAATAAATTAAGAGTGTGGTGAGAGGTAAACTGGCCAGGCGGACAGCTTTTTAGAGATTCCTTAATACTGTGTCTTCGAAGTAGCATA